GTGTACCTACAGTCAATCCACTTACTTTGGATTTCCAGCCCCTGGCTTCTTTCTCCGGAATATGTTGAGGAAAGTGTTGGACTTGCAAGGTGCCTTGCCATCCCCGACATGCATACGCACCACATCTGAGGTGGTGAAGGCACTGCGGACATTCCTCTCGGGCTTGGCTATAATGATGTACATCTTAGGAGTGAACATGCACCCCAGTGCCACTGTCACGCTCAGGCTCACTGCAAAACAGGTAGTGATGATCTTGTAGTTGCTCCCAAAATAGATAGGCACAAAGGCCAGCCAGATAATACAAGTGGTGTACATGGTAAATGCAATGTACTTGGCCTCATTGAAGTTGGCAGGCACATTGCGAGTCTTGAAGGCATAGTATGTGCAGCTCATGATGAGGAGTCCATTGTAGCCCACAGGAGCCACGACACCTAGGTTGCTGGTGTTGCAGATAAGGTAAACCTCCTTAATGCTGGGGTAGGAGAGGATGGGCATGGGGGGCTCCAGGATGATCAGCGTGATCACCAGTGTCAGCTGCACGCTGATCAAAATGGAGGCAATGACCACTTGGGCCCACGCACTCATGAAACGTGGCTTGCGGGTGCAGATCTTCTTTTTGCTGCCTGCCAGGATGCGGGCAATGCGGTTGGTTTTGGTCACAAGGGCAGAATAGCACATGGCAGAGGAGAGGCCCACTAAAAGGCGCTGGAGGTAGCAGGATGTCGTGGTGGGTTTAGCTATAAGGGTGAAAGGGCAGACGTAACCCAGAAAGATGCCAGCAAGGATAATATAGCAGAGCTCCCGGCTGGAGGACTTGACAACAGGGGTGTCTCTGTAGAGCACAAAGATAAGGGTGACAAACATGGTGACCAGGATCCCCAGGCAGGAAAAGACCACAGCCACAATAGACTCTATATTGCTCCACTGGAGGTACTTTACAGGGATGGGTTCGCAGCCTGCAGTGCACAGAAGAGAAACAGAGTGTTAGAAAGGTAGCTGCCTGAAGAACTATTTTTCCTGTATCCCAGTGTAATCCAAACATTAACATACGCTTGTGTGCCATGGATCACTAAAACCATTTTACAAGGGAATGAACTGTAGCATGGAGAAGTTTGGATAAAACATATTCAAAAAACAGATAACAGTTTTGGATGTCCCAAAATTTGCTAATGATGCTACAACTGGAAATGTGACTTAGAAATTTTTCATAATATTTCTTGAAATGCCTGCTCACAAGCCCAGCATATCAAAGGCAAATATGGGAACAGAATCCAGACAAACTCAGCACCATCCTTTCATTTCAGCAGGGAAAAGACTGTTGTGAATCAGAATGAGCAACGTTTTGACCTCCTCAGGTTAACTTATTTTATTGTTTAAAAAAATCATTATATTTTGACCCACCACTTTTTTTGTGAGGGTGATTCTATACATAACATAAATTAATTAGGGATCTATGGAGAGAAAAATAGTAATAAATCCAAAATTTTAATGGAATCTTAGCATGGATACTGTACCTTCTTAGTATATTTCTACTTTTTTTCTCTTAACACTAACTTATGTTGTCAAACCCTATACTCACTGTTTTTCCACTAAATAATGTAATTTAATTCTCTTGGAAAAATCAAACCCAAAGAATATGCATACCTTCAAAAATAACTGGAAAAGTTCTCTTCTATGACTAGTAAAGACATGCAAACATAGGTACCTGTTAAAATTGTACTTAACTTCTCTTTCCCACACTCAAGCCAAAACAGTTTCTAGATACCTTCCTCACTGTGCTGAAGAAGTAATTCCAGCAATAAACATTACAGAGAACATAAAATCCTTTGTGTTAATAAGATTTAGAAGGTTTAGAAGATGTTACTGAAAACCTTCATTCTGGCATTTTCTAATTTCTTTAGCATGTTTCTTTATCCCCCAAAAAGTATCCATGGTTTCTTCTACTTTCTTTCCTCCTCCAGTTTTCCTTGACCCAGCTCGCCTTCTGTGCCTTCCCCCACCTCTCAAGTGTCTTTCTCCCCAGTTCCTAGCCATCCCCAACTCAGTTCCTCTTCCAGTTCATTTTGTTCCTAGCCACCTCTCCACCCAGATGTCTCCATTACAAACTGCTGGTCCACTTTTTCACAAGCTGGACTGGTTGCTCATCAGCTCTGCCTGTCCAAGTTGTTGGACACAGCTGAGAAGAGCCAGGAAAATGTGGTGATGTCAGCAAGCTTGTGAGAGAAGCATTATTTCTCTCAGCTTTGTTGCAAACCTTGGCAAGGGCCTTGACATTGTGATGGGCAAAAATTGTGGTCGGACTCTTCCTCCTCAGTATGGAGTGTATCTGCAGAAACCATCTACGAACTAAAAACTTCTGAGGCCCACAGTTTCACTTAATTTATGAGCATCTTCCACAGGGTGACACAAAATTACCAACTGATTACTGTAATGTAAAGTCTTTCCCTCCAAATAATAGAGAAGTAAGCAGAGACCTGGATTTTGGATTAGGGTGGAACAGTTTTACTGTAACCTAGTTTTGAGAAACGGAAGGAGAAAAAATGTGGGTTTCTTCTATTAAAAAAAAAAAAAAAAAAAAAAAATCAGCCAAAGGCAAAGTCCTGACATGGAAAATTTCTGTTTGAACTTTAAATGTCTGCCAATGTCATATAAACTGAAAAAGGTTCTATAATTCTGTACACTTTGTCATTTATCAAAACCAATAAAAGTTATAGCAGTTTCAATTGGAGATCTTATTTTATAAAGAAAAGAATTCTGTTTTGCTCAAGATGGTCTGTTCAAGACTCAGGTGAGGAAACATGTACTTTCAGACAGTATTTTTATGATGAAGTATGGAGGAAAAGCTCTTTATTAGAAGCAGAAATCTCTGGCCATTGGCCTCAGCTGCTCTGAGGGGAAGCTAACTCCTATAATTAACAACAAGACTAAGGATCAGAAGCTCCTGTTCATTGATTAATACATGCAAAGCTCTTAAACAAGAAGTTGGTCAGTGGCTGTTGGAAGGGTTAAGTTTCAAGATAGGGTTTAAGCTTAGCAACATCAAGACATACTCACATTATTCCATTTTAAACTATATTTTCTGAGCCTTAGCCCAGATCCAGCATGGTAGTTAAGCCTATAATTTCTTTAAACTTGTCCTGCATAATGTCTTAGAAATCTGTTTCATGAAATCAGTGTAATTCCTGTGCACTAGCAAGCCCAAGAACCACATGTTCTACCAAGAATGCAGAAAGTTTCCTGCACTGCTTGCTATTAGCGAACAGTTGTTGGCTGTCAGCATCTGTGAAGGTGGATCATTTCCCAGCTAGGAGGAAGTGGGCTCTCGAACCTTGTTGAGACTGGGAGAGGATACCCAGGAAATTGTGTATGTATGACTTTAAAACTCCAAACAAAACAAAACAAGCTCCCACAACAACTAACCCAAACTTCAAAAAAACAGAGAATTAGTGGCAAAAGCTTCACAGTTAAAATTTTCTAGTAAAAAGCTGCCTGGTAGCTTTCACCTACTATTTTCCCTGCACTTTAACTATGAATAATTTGCAAGACCAGAAGGCTAATCCATTTTTTTTGTCATTATTATAGTATTAAAGAAAGGCCATTAAGAGAATCTATGATGTTTTCTGAGGTCATTGACACATCACAGGTAACTGATGGCCCCAAAACTTTATGATTAATTTCATACATCTATAAAAATTCCTGTCCTATCTTGATTTATTGCTTATTTAAGATTATTTATATAAACTAGGTTTGCTAACTTGACATTCATCCTTCTTATGTTATAGTCTGGTACTATAAAAGATATCTCTTCTCTTGGCACAAGGCCTAAGGTACTGGCTTTACTGACTATTTGTCAGGTCAGGTTTTCATCATCTGCAGTGAGAAATCTTTTGTGCCTGCTGACTCAACTTCACTGAACTCATATTTAGTGGAAGCAATTTCAAAAAAATTGTTTACATTTAGAAATAAAATTAAAATGTCAGGAAAGGATTGCTCAGCAACAGAGACTGATTTCAAATGGAGAGAACGAGCACCTTGAAAAGCATGTCATAGGAAATGGGTTAGTATGTGCTTCACGTTTCTTAAAGGGATTAAGGATTTTAGAGCCTCCATCTGTGATGCAAAATGGGACTAAAACTGTGTACGTGTTTAGCATTTAAGGCAAAGAGAAGAATAATCTGAACTTTGAGATGTTACCGTCTGTGTCTAGATGACTGTCAGGGTATGAATACAACACACAAAATCAAGCTATAAAAAGACATTTGATGGGAGTCCTGGCAAGAAAAGAGAATTCCAAATTAAATTATACCAATGGTGACTCCCACAAAGTTCAAGAGCCAGAGTTTATCTATCTAAATCACCTTTTTGTAAGGATTAGGATGGCATCAACTTCTCTTCACAGCTTTTTACTTATTACTACACTTCAAGTAAATGAATTTCAGGGGTTAAAAAAGAAAGAATTTTTTTTCCTCAATAAAACAGACTGAAGAAGCTGTGCAGGAGCAGACTGCCATTTCAATGTTCTCTAGGAAATCAGTCCATGGCTAAGCTGTCATTTGGCTGACGCTACTGTGATTTTATAACAGCATCAGTCCAGTCTCCTTGCTGAGAAGAAACACAAATCAGCAGGTCATCTCCTGATTTCATTAAAAGTTAATAGATTGCAACATGCCCCTGAGATTTTTTCCAGCACTGATGCTTTCTTCAACTCTTTTCAGCAGTGCCTGTCATTTTGACATGACCCCTTTTGAGCTACTTTGAGCAGCTGGTAGCACTGAACCATATTCTTTCAAGTGCACATTGATCTCTCACTAGGTTCTTATTCTGCTTTATTGATTTAAAAGAAGTGCCCATTTTCTTCCCTGAAGAGTAGATAAAAACAATTCTGTGAACCTCCAAGACCTACAAAACCTGTTTGTCTATGGATCTGCTTTAAAACTAAGGGACACTGGTGTCCTAGGAGGTGGGAATTAAATATGAGTTTTTCCAATAGTCAGGTTATTTATGAAAGGTTCTGTGGATTTTCTGGTTTCTAGTAAAACAAGATTTTTTTTTTTTATCACAATCGAGACCCTTATGGAAGGTATTTTTCATGAACTCCTCTTCCTACAACCCACTTACATGAAACTTGAAGGAACTGAATGATCACTAAGATTTTTATATACCTACAAATCTGTTTGTAGGGTCAGCTGCACACCAGAGCAGGGCTGGGGCAGGGGTAGGACTAGGAGGGTGGGAGCGTTGGAGTGAGAGTAATAGGATATAGACAGTTATGCATGCATCTGGAACATGACCACAGCTTATTTTCCGTGGAAAACCAAGGTAGACGATGTGTAAAGTTTCCTAGTCTATTGTGATTAATAATATGTTTTTAGCTGGAGACGTGGCCAGCTTTCCCTCTCAAAAGACATCCTCTGAAAGCTCATTTGGCTTCAATGACTAGCTTAAAGTATCTCTTGGAACAATTTAATCAAAGTTTGAGGACTTTGTCTATGTGTTAAATGTTGCAGCAGCATCTAGTTGCCAGCCAAATGAAGATGTGAAAAGTTGCACATTTGCTCTCCAGCTAGATGATCACATTGTTCCTTTGACTAGTAATGATGCCCTGCTGAATAGTGGCATCCAAGATTTGCAGAGGTGATATGGGACAGAAGTGCCAGTAGTCTTTTACAGTGATACAAAGCAAACATTAAGGTCAGGGTGATGCTTCTCAATGTGTTATATCTGTTTTCTTGGGGTAAGGGTTGCTGGAAAGCCCAGAGCAGGTGTGGAGGTTGACCTTGATAGGTACAAAATAAACAGAAAGATGCCATAACATGCAACTCATCAAAAATATATACACAAGGGAGACAAATTCTAGCTCTTTCCAGCCAGCTTTTCTCAGGATTTTGTTGAAATTCCTCTAGCTGGTGGGTACAGGGAGAATGATCTTTATATGAACAGTCTGGTAATCAGTTACTGAATGGCCTGAAATCCCACAAAGATTGCATGGTAGAATGATCAGAAGGAGTATCAAGCCAATATGGCAAGAATGCACTTAACTCCTGTGATAGTCACTGCTAAATTGCAGCAAATGCTGCTGAGTTCATTAGAAGTCTTAACAGATTTATTAATGCTTTATCAGTGCTAACTGAAGGGGTGGAACAGACTATGACATTTCTTGCTAAACATTTTGCTGTCATTATTGTCACTGCTCCACTGCTCCACTAAGCCAAAATACATAGCACTTTTCACTCACTCTAAAGTGCACTGGAATATGTGTCCAAGTATCTTTACTATCCAAATATCTTTAATATCTCTGCATGCTGCCACCTTACTGTCCACCACAAAGCATTCTCCTTGTGCTCTGTAGGAAAAGAATGTGTTTGGAGGGACACGTCCCTACCTGTCAGGTCAGCATTCGGCCACCAGCCAAGCTCACAGGCTTTACATGTGAATTCATCCTGAACAAATTCATTCTCCTTGCAAGCAGTACAAATCCAGCAGCAGCTCACTTCTCCTTTCCTGATCACCTGCAATGCAAAATACATCCCCGGTTATAATCCTCTATAAGAAAACAAAGAAGCCTCCCCCTCCCCAACAGATAACGTACTGTTTAAATATGACAGGATTCCTATGTATGGCACGTTTCAAACAGCTACAAAACATGAATCATGATTTTGTATCTATCCCTGTATATTCAAATTTATGTTTAGGAGTTCAAGGATAATCTCTGAGGGCAACTCTATTTTGTTTTGGTGAGAGCAGTTCTGAGTTGAAAGTACAAAACAGTTATCCTTTTGGTACACAGGCATGGTGAGTGTCATATTTTCAATCAAACTTGAGGTTTAATCTGCGAGGTGGTTGAGGCCAGGACAAGTAGTTCAGCCCACCCTTGATATCTATTGCATAGTAAAAACCAGTGAACAAAGTCAAAGGTTAGAACAAGGAGTGATTTATGCATAGACATACATATTTACATCTATACACAAGCACATTCAAATACACATGAATTCCAACTTATATGGAAGTCTCTTTGGGGCTTCAATAAATAGAAATTTAAATAAGAGCAAATTAAAAAGCATACTGCTAAAAGGATATATTGGTTCCTAGTAGAAAAGAAAACCATTATGCAGTGAACAAGCACAGGCTTCAGAACAGCTCTTTTAGAGACAAATGTCTCTGAAAGCTTTCTTTCTTTACTGTGAGTGCCGCTAACTGTAATGATCCAATGCTGAAAAGATGTTTTCCTTGTCTTGACTCCTTGTTTCATTACCCTGAGGCTGAAATAAAGATTAATGATATCTCCAGCTCACAGGGCTCTGACAAAGACTCTGGCCCCGTTTGTCAGGAAGGAGAAATCTAGCCTTCTTTTCAGAATCTTCCTATCTAACAATATGCAGAGATAACTACAGCAGTGAAATGCAAAATGTTTGTTTTATCGAATATTTGGCTTTGTGGGTTTTTTAGCTAGCATTTCCTCCTGCAGTCTGTGGAGAGAGTCCAATAGACTTCAGAGAGATGAAGCTGGCATTTTGTATGCATGGTGTTTACATATACACACATACACAAACTGCACAATCTCAAAAACAGGGAAAAGATGTTTTGGAGGGTAGTAAATACCAACAATGTTTCTTCTCCAAGATTGCTGGATTATGTCGCTGTGGTTTTGCCAAATCATCAATCACTTATTGCTTAGAGCAGCAATATAGATATAAAAAGCTGCAAATGTTCTTATTAAATTAATATAGACAGGAAGATCTGCTCTAAGGAGATTTTCTTGAATGGGATTCTTGCCATTTTAAACTTACTGCATCCATACCATTTTGATAGTGGTGGAACATGTCTTTATGTCTTCCAGACATGACAGGTGGCAAATTATTTGTAGCCTGATGCAAGTGCTACTGTTTGGTAAACACAGAGTGATTTCATTTGTGTTTCCATATCTCCTGTTGTGAACATGAGATACAAATAGGCTTTTTTGTTCGGTTGGTTGGTTTTTTCAACTTTTCCTTGCAGGTGTTATTGCTGGAACAAAATAGTGGATTCCCATGGGTCACGATATTTTCAGGATCAGCCCCCAAGTGAATCACAGCCACTGAATATTGTAGGCAATGACTAAGTGCAAATCTTTTTTTTTCTCACATAAGGTGAAATTCAAATCCTGTCACACTAGAAAATTCTGCATCTTTACAAAGGGTAATTTTAGAAAACATGGTCCTGTATATGGGATTGTTAAAGAAAAATATAAATCTAGGAGTCCTTCTACAATTTTGGCTTTCCTTAAGAAAAGGAGGTCTTATCCCTTGGCTTAAAAAGAAGCTCACTTGGGTCTAGGGGAAAACAGTGACTGGATATTCACATTTCTATAGCAGAAATTAAGTGTCTGAGGCACACCTTAATCTGGCCCTTCAAGCAAGGCTCGCTGCACACTGATCGGACCATTCCGCTCTTATTCATCTGAATCCTATAGTCATCGATGTTGAGCACACCCTCATGCCAGGTCCCAATGAGGACATAGTCATAGCGGTTGGGCTCTATGTACTGCAAGTTCATGATGTCATACCTGCAAAGGAAAAAAGAGGAAGTGAGCCACTGTCCTGCAAAAAAAAAAGGACAAAAATTTACCTTTCCCTTCTCCCTCTGCTTCTAAATATTCATGTTATCCCTTAACACCAGGGACTTGAGTTTCAAAGGAACACCAAATTCTATAGAATTTGCAGCAGAATCATGGGAAATGGTAGCTCTGATTGACACCAAATTGCTGATTGCCTTCCTTGCTTGCCTGAATCTGTGGGTAAAAGGTCCAGGAAGAACTGCACATCAAAGACAACAAACTCTGCTAAAAGTACACATGTAGACTATGTCTGGATAGTGTGCTTTCATACCATTTTTCTATACGTCTTTAACATTTACTTGGTGTCTACATACAGGTTTGTTGTAGTATAGCCCTTGCTGGGAGCTCTCAAGTAGAAGTGCTCTAAGTGACTGAACTGGTTTGCCATAACTGCAAGCACTAGTTCAACTATTTATGTTACTCAGCCCAGTGATACTGTCAGGAAAAGTTAACAGTTCAGTCACAAAATTTATTTCCTCACCCTAAGCAAGCAGGAGAGTGCTTCCCCAGGCTAAGGTAAGGAAAGCATAAGAAACTGCTACAATAAACATCCAGCCTCCATCATTGTCTTCAATGTGTTGGACCTGATGTGTACACATCCCCTACCACTAATTATTCTGTTCCTTCTTTTACTCACAGAAGGTGGCTTGTTTCTTAGTAGGAAATAACCAAGAATGGAAGAATGAGTGTGCACAGAGAGGAAGAACCACAAAAGAGGCTGAACCTGCAGCCTGCTCTCTTAAGATGAGAAGCGAGGGGGCTTTTTTTAAAGAAACGGATAAGAGAAAGATGACAGGACCAGAAATCAGCATTGGGGCTGAAAACAATAAAGAATCTTCTGTTTTACAAGCCTGAGAGCTATTGTCTTGCTTTTCTCTACTGGATTGTCTCAGTCTCTGGGGGGAAAGAAAATTCTTTACTTATAGAGTGCTGCTAACTTATATGTGTTTAAGGAATGAAAGGTACAGTAAGCAAAGTATGAGCCATAAATAAAACTGGGATGCTCAGCTGAGAATGAAGACAGACATCTGCTTCTTTCTTTTCAATCTGAGGTTCAAACATGCAAAATTTCAGCTCTCTCTGCACTTCACAGAGGAAAGGAGTGCTAGATTACTGTCTGGATCTCTTATTTTCTTAACTGACTCTTTGGGGTCTCTCTAGTTAAAGACTATCTAAAGAATTACATATTCACAGCTGTAATCAGACCTCAGTCTTGTAAGTATGCATGCTCAGATAATGCCAGTGCCATTGCAGAGCTCCACTGAATCATATGTGAAAAGGGATTCCTGCCACTGAGTTCAATGGAGCTCCAATCAGGAGGCAGCTCCATTGGTTGGTAATTGGTTACTAACAAAGGCATTGCTTAGGAAAGGGGTAAATTTCAAATCCATTAGGGAACAATTACTTCTCATATTCCAGTTCTTGCAATGGAAGCATATAAAAAAAGGAATGCTATTTCCAGTCTTGTGAAGAATCAGGATAGCAAGAAGCAGT